CAATCTCAATCTCTCTTTCATGCATACACCACCATGCCTAGTTTCATGGGGTGCTGGGGATCAAACCCAGGGTTTCATGCGTGCTAGGCAAGCACTTTACCAAATGAGCTACAACTGCAAACCTAACAGGGACCATTTCTAAGCAAGTGCTTCCCCAGGCCTCTGGAGAGGACCCTGGCCCCAGCCCTGCAATCTCTGCTTTCCAGAGCCCTGTCCCTTTCTGTGCCACGTGCAAATAGCCAGTCAGCAGGAGGCTTCAGCGCTCAGATATTGGTGTCCCACCTCTAACAGAGCCTGGGGTGATGGGAAGACAGATCAAGGAGCTCCTGTGAACTAAGCTCCAGCTCGGGACAGACATGCTGTGGTAAGAGGATGTTTCAGTGTGGCAGCCCACTTGAAGCCCAAGACATGTTGCCAAGGAACATGGGGGAAAGAAATAGGAGCCACCAGTCCTGACAGGTGCTTGGAAATCTGCTCCTCCCCGAGGGGTCAGCCCTCAGCACACCTTGGCTCCCCAACTCCTGGAGGTCTGAGGCAGCTCTTCCTAGGTCAAGGTCAAGAGAGGCAGGGCAGCTGGTCTGCACTGTCAACCTGGGTCATCCTTGAAGTCAGGTAGCAGGCGGATGAAGAGTGTTCAGGTTCAGATAGCCCCGCCCCCTCACCAACAGGGTCTCACAGGACTTCTCAAGCTCCTGAGAAAAGGGAACCTAGCTGATAAGCACCTTGGCCTTTGAAGTCAAGGGAAGCAGATTCTTCTAAGAGGCAGCCTGCGTTTCCTCTCATCTCTGAAGACAAGATAAGCAGATTCTGCCTGTTAACCAGAGATTTTAGGAGCTGTTTTAGTACAGCAGCTTTTCCCTTATCTTAGGAGGACAAAAAAGTAAACACTTACTGACCCAGATCCTGGCTGGCAGACAGAATGGAGGCAGGTTTACAAGCCCTGTTTTCCCGCTTCCCCCCACCTAATTTTTCCCAAAAAACTTCACACCTTCAGCACCCTGAAGCCCCCGTATATAAGCCCTAGCTCACAATCCGTGAACAGACATTTTCCCTTCCCAAAGGGAATGTGTCCCATGCGAAATAAAGCTCTATTGTATATAAGCACCTGTCAACCATCAAGGACCCTGTTGAGATGCATGAAGAGGGAACCCCTGCTGTCTGACTGACCCCTAATCCAGCCCCCCCATGTCAACCCTGTCCAGCAGGAAGTAGCAAGATGACAACAGCATCCCCATCCTATAACACAAAAGGCTGGAATATTAGGGTTTCAAACAGCAGCAGCCTCCCTCCTCCAACAGGGTCCCATGGACTTTGGATTTTTCAAGCCTGAAAAAGGGAACTGAGCTGATAAGAACCTTGGCCTTTGAAGTCAAGGGAAGCAGATTCTTCTAAGAGGCAGCCTGCCTTTCCTCTGATCTCCGAAGACAAGGTAAGCAGATTCTGTCTGTTAACCAGAGATTTTAGGAGCTGTTTTAGTACAGCAGCTTTTCCCTTATCTTAGGAGGACAAAAAAGTAAACACTTTCTGACCCAGATCCTGGCTGGCAGACAGAACGGAGCCAGGTTTACAAGCCCTGTTTTCCCGCTTCCCCCCCACGTAATTTTTCCCAAAAAACTTCACACCTTCAGCACCCTGAAGCCCCTGTATATAAGCCCTAGCTCACAATTCGTGGCCAAAGGCAGCTTGCTTTCCCTTTGATGATCTCAGAAGACAAGATAAACAGATTTCACCTTTTGACCAGAGACCACAGGAGTTGCTTTAACACAGCGGGTTTTCCCTTTGATTTTAAAAGGGAAAAACAAGACCCATTGTGGTGGTACATGCCTTTAATCCCAGCACTTGGGAGGCAGAGGCAGGCTGATCTCTGTGAGTTCAAGGCCAGCCTGGTCTACATAGTGAGTTCCAGGACAGCTGGGGCTACAGGGAGACCCTGTCTTAAAAAAAAAAAAAAAAAAAAAAAAAAGACAAAAAAAAAAGAAAAGAAAAGAAAAGGTCAAAACAGACACCTCTTGATCCAGATCCTGGCTTTTGGACAGAAGGGGGCAGGTTTTAACTGAAGCTGTTCTGACAAGTTGCTGCCCCCCCCCAAAATCTTCCTGCCTTGTGCCTTCTGCACTCTCCCCTCCATAAAGGCCCCAGCTCACGACCTGTGGGCTGACATTTTCCCTACCCGGAAGGTGTTAAGTTTCAGATAGCCCTGCCCCTCACCAACAGGGCCTCAGGGACCTCACAAGCCCCTGAGAAAACTGACCTGAGTTGATAAGCACTCTGGTCTTTGAAGTCAAGAGAAGCAGACTATTCTCGTTGTTTGGCCAACACAGCAGCTTCCCCTTTGATCGCTAAAGAGGGCAGATTTTAACAGTCCTGCTCTCCTGCTTCCCCCCACCTAACTTAAACAAATTATATATATATAATCTTCCCACCTTCTGCATCCTCCCAGAAGCCTCCCCTTTTAAAAAGACCCCAGCTCACAACCCAGGGCGGATATTTTCCCTACCTAGAAGGGAATCTGTCCCATGTGTTCCTTTGCTAGTAAACTCTACTCTGATGGAGTTTTATCTGTGTCCTGGTGCTTTCTCCGATCAACCAGATTCATCCATCACCTACTTTACCTATCAGAAGGGAATCTGTCCCATGCTGGGCTTCCTTTGCTAATAAGCTGCTTTCTCCTGATCGACCAGATTCATCTCTTGACTTCATCTATCAACTAGTAATCTCTTTTTGCTTTTATAGGAAGTAAATTACTGTGTGGGAAGATATATATATATATA